TTCTCTGTTCTAACCAAGAACTAAAGAGCTGTTTGTTTGCAACAGTCTCCAGATAGATATTAATACTGGACCTTTCCAGTAGATTTTGCAACTCTATTGAGAAAAACTCTTAAAATTTGGCCAGATGCAGCTGTGGTTCCTGATAGAACATAATTCTTTCACGGCCCTTATTAGCTATTTAGTACCACACCCCCAATTCCTAATTCATATCAATGTGGTCTCTAAACAAACCCAGTCCCACAAGGTAATTTACCCAGTAATTTACAATCTGGCGGATGACCATTTTTTTCTGGTCAACAACATCCAGCAAAGTCTTTGTGTTCAGAAAGCAGCTATGCCATGGGGAGCTAGAACTGTAATCTTTGGCTGAAATGCAAACCTTCTGTAAGTCAAACTAAATAATTCTCTATCCATTCACTAAGTTACAGAGACTATTAAATTTTAATGATTCCTGAAGAAAATGTAAGGATGTGGACAGTCCATAAAAATACACAAAGTGTCCCCAATCCTGAAGCTAGCATATTATCTGAACTCAAAAGATTGTCACGAAATGCTCCAAGGAACAAATTCCTTCCTGTTAAAAAATTTCTCAAATAGGGGCACCTGGGTGGCTCAGGCATTAGGCGTCTGCCTTCAGCTCGGTTCATGATCCTGGGGTCCTGGGATAGAGCCCCACATCGGGCTCCCTGCTCTGCGGGGAGCCTGCTTCTCCCCCTCCCACTCTCCCTGCTTGTGTTCCCTCTCTAGCTCTCTCTCTCTCTGTCAAATAAATAAAATCTTAAAAAAAAAATTTTTTTCTCGAATAACATTAGGAACTTCTATTGAGTACCTACTGTGTGGCTTGACATTTTACAGCTATAATTGCTAACCCTCACAGCCAGCAAGGGAGAATTATTATTCCCTTTTTACACAGGGAGAAGGAAGCTCAGAGCCCTTACTTATTATTAGCTCAAGGTCCCAAAGCTGTTTAAGTGCCACAGCCTGGACCAAAACCCACATCTGATGGGCCCCAAGTTTCCTACACCAGGCTGCTCTATAGTATTATTTTCTGAAACTGCTAAAGTTTCAGAAGATAAAGCTATTCATTATATGATTTAATTTCATATTTCTTTTTTCTAAGGTGACATATGGGGAAAACAGAACGGGTTTATATTGATATGTGATTGAACCTTTCAAAGGGATTTTCCGTTTAAAAAGAACTAATGGGGCTCCTGGGTGGCTGACTTCAACTCAGGTCATGATCCCAGGGTCCTGCTCAGCGGGGAGCCTGCTTCTCCCTCTGCCTCTGCCCCTCCCCCCTGCACATTCTCTCTCTCTCTCAAATAAATAAAATTTTTTTTTTAATTTTATTTATTTATTTGACAGAGAGAGACACAGCGACAGAGGGAACACAAGCAGAGGGAGTGGGGGAGGGAGAAGCAGGCTTCCTGCAGAGCAGGGAGCCCGATGCGGGGCTCGATCCCAGGATCCCGGGATCATGACCTGAGCCGAAGGCAGACGCTTAACGACTGAGCCACCCAGGCGCCCCTCAAATAAATAAAATCTTAAAAAAATAAAAATAAAAAACTTTAAAGATCAGTGTCTAAAACTCGAGAAACTTTACCTGATGCTTACTCTGGTAGACACTGTATTAAAACAAGACAGAGAGATGAATAACAAAGAGTTTCTACCTTCAAGGTGTTCACAGTCCAATGAGACTATTAAAAAATTAAGCGTCCCCCTTTTGCAGAGGAAGAAACTAAAAACTGGTGAGGTCTGAGTGCCTTGCTCTGACTTAGCTTCCCAGAGGCAGACAGGACCTGATCCGAGATTCTTCTGATCACACCTCAGTGACTCTTCCACACCCTGCTTCCACATTCACTTCCTAATCATATTCTCCATTATTGTTTCTCTGTAAATTCAACAAGGACTGTAGAAATCAGAGAGTCCGAATTCATCTGGACAAGCACAGCAACAAGGCTGATGATTTCAATGCACACAGAACCCACTGGGCCACTTTGTTTTGAAACCTGTAATAAAACCACAAACTGACTTTTATTGCTCAGGCTGCTTCAATCTTAAATCGAGAGACTGTTCTAAGAAGCTGCAAATATTTTCAAAGAAAGAGCAGGGTAAGTCAGGCTAAAGGAGAACTCTTAATGTCCTCTTTCATCATTAGGGCAACAGAAGGTCATTGTAATAGAGACTGCATTTCTGTGACACGGTTCCTATACTCAGAAATGTCCCCTGTGAATTTTTTAAATTGTTATTCAACTTCTCTCATTCATTTACTTAATGACAGCAAGCCAAGACTTTGTGCTGGGGGGATCGAAATGGACACATGAGACGCAGTCTCTGTTCAGGGAAAACAGAAACAAATTACTACAAAGGAATGATTAACTCCACTTGTGGCAAACAGGGACAGCTTCCTGAAAGCTAAGGCAGGAAAAGGATGAAAAGGAATTTGCCAAGTGGATTGGGGTTGGGGCAGGGAGAGAATGGTGAGGGTGGGCACAGAGAACAGCAAGATGTTGTTGTTGCAAAATGCGTGGTATGCAAGATGACCTAACTTTGAACTAAAAGCATTAGCTAATGTGCTTGCTCTGTATTAATCACTTGGAAACTGAGCATATCACTACCAAATGGAGTTTTTCTGTTCTTATTCATCGCTCTTTATGAAATCAATTCCAATCTGGCTTTTATCTCTACTACTCCACTGAAGTTGATTTTGTAAGTGATCACCAGTGACTTCCATGTTGCCAAATTTAATCCAATACACCCTTTCAGACATCATCCTACTTGACCTTACAGAGCAAAGGACACAGCTGACCATTCCCACCTTTTGACTATATATACTCTCTTCTTGAGAAACATCTCTCAACCTCTCTAGCCCCTTTTCTGCATCCCCTTTGCCAGATCCTCCTCCTTTACCTGGGGGGGCATGTGACTTTCTTTGGATGACGAAATGGGAGCAAAAGCGGTATGTATCACTTTGGGGTGGAAACTCTAAGAGCCAGATATACTACTTCACCTTCTCTTCCTCTGCCTTGACGATCGCAATGCTCCAGGTAATAGCTGCTCCATTAGCCTGGGTCCTAGACTTAGGATATAATGGCAAAGCGGATATGCAGCATGAGTGAGACATAAATGGACGTAAGGCTACATCTTCCAACAGATCCCAAGTGCCTTACCATAATGAACAAATTCCAATACAGTTAGTTCCTACATGCCTGCCTATGCAACCTCATCTTGGACCTGTCCTTCCAGCTCACTACATCCCATTCACATTGGCCCTCTTCCCCCGCTTTCATGCATTATTCTTTGCAAGGTTCGCTCCTCAACCTTTACACCTCAGCTTAAATATTACCCCCTCGGAGAAGTCTCCCTTGACCACTTTCTCGAAGAAGGTCTGTCACTGTGATTCTGCACCACAGCAGAATTCGTGGATTTCCTTCAGTCTGTAATAATTATCCACCTCGTTGGTAAACTGTCTCTCCCTCTAGGTTGTAAGCACCATGAGGGGAAGAGCTCATCACTACCTGCAGTGCCTAGCGCTGCACCTTCAATATATTACCCTGTATTTAGTAGGCACTCAATAAATACTTGTTAAATGAGTGAACAAGTGAAAAAAGATTCCAAAAGTGGGACCCAAGAAAACAACACAATCACCTATCCCAGAGGCGAGAGGTAGCAGTTGTGGGAACAGTAAGGGAACTCACATTTACTGAGTGACTATGATGTACCTAACACTAATAGGTGCTTTACTTATATGTTCTCTCTCTAGATTCTCAATAATCCTAGGAAGCCAATATTAGTATCCTCACTTTATAGATCAGGCAACGGAGACTCAACCTGCTCAAGCAGCAAAACCTGTAAAAGCAGCAGTTTTAGCCCAGACCTGTTAACCTTTCCTCCAAACCATGTTTCCTTCCCTAGAGATTAAACTGCTACTAACTATATTTCATCATTAAGTTTCTAGCATATGTATAAATTGCATATATACAAATACATTTCTACCCCAAGAATCAGTTTGTGTTTATCTTTTTTTTTTTTCTTTAGGTTCATCCTAAAGCCTATTTCACGTATCTCTTATTATCTGGGACAAGTATAGCAGAATGATAAAGCAAAACCAAATTACAGATAAATCAGACATTGTTTTGGAACTTTTTTCTTGAAATCTTTTTCTTTTCAGAGTAAGAATCTACTACAATTGAGAAGTAGGTCTGAATTCTGTTCTGAGTTCATTTTATAGAACTTGAGATTGGGGCACCTGGGTGGCTCAGTCAGTTAAGCGTCTGCCTTCGGCTCAGGTCATGGTCTCTGGGTCCCAGGATCGAGCCCTGCATCGGGCTCCCTGCTCAGAGGGGAGTCTGCTTCTCCCTCTCTCTCTGTCCCTCTGCTTGCGCTCTCTTTCTCTCTCAAATGAATAAATAAAATCTTAAAAAAAGAAGAAGAAGAACTTGAGATCAATTTATATTGGTTTACTATACTGTCTTTCCCCCTCACCAGGTGCTTTTCTGCCAGTCACAGAACATGCAAAGTTGAATGGTCAAAGGGGAGCTGACCCATAGTCCTGATCTGATTAGCACAGGCTCCAAATATCTAACAAATGAACCTGGCTTTTTACCTCTGACCACCGTTTGGTGAAGTAACATGTTAACAGCAGAAAGGTGGGGTCTGTGTAACTCCTGGAACAGTGCTGCCGGGCTGAGCAGACTCACAGGATTCTCAGAGCTAAAGGGACCTTAGAGACCATCTACTTAATCCCCTCTTTTAACCGTTTGGTGAACAGGCCCAGCAGGCAGTTACGTGCCTCAAAGAAGCAAGACTCCTGGCTCCTAGTCGAGTGCTCTTTCCACTACAACACACTGCCTCCCCAACCAAGAGCTAGTGATTATATCAGAGTAACTGGTACATAACACTTAGATAACACAGACTGTAAATCCCCCAACGTTGCTCTTACTCTCCATCAGTGAGAAGACCCTGAACAAAGAGAACATACACAATACACACAAAGGAGATCAGGAAGAACTATTTTAATTTTCTATTAAACATTCTTCCAAAAGCATTATTTTATCCCATATCTTACTGAGTTATAAGAAATAACATTAGCATTAGAAAAAACAGGAAGAAGATAAATCAAATGTGGATAATTAAACTTATATGGAAAAGGAAAATGAGAACAAAGGACTGACAGCTTTACAGATAGATACTTTGAAAACTGTGCATCTCAAAGCAAACTTTATTTGTTCAATTATTTTTAAAATAGCGTTTTAAGACCAATACACTGATTTTTTCAAGAAGGAAAGTCATTTTAAAAATACTTTTATTTTAAAAATAGGCCTGCATTCAGCTGTAGATTTTTTCCCCCCAAGCTCTGATCAGGTTTATTTTGATTTGGGGAAAAAAAATACCATTGTGATGGCATGAAAAGCAAAATTTAAGTCTTTTTTAAAAACATCTCAGTACAGAATTTTAAAAACTATTAATGGAAAATAGAGTAAGGACATTAAGTCACAACAGTAATTACCACTGGCCAGTTCCTAGTATTCGGCTTCTCCCCTAGTTCTCCAGAGGAAAACTTAAGTTGAATCTTCAGCAGAATGATCTTTAAATATACTTTATAAGCAAAATGAGAGCTTTTGTTTACATAGTTTTTAGATTTTGCTGTTCCTAATTTTATTCTGAAACTCAAGTTTTACCCCAAACCATAATTACCATATGAACTTTGTAATGCACAGTTTTGTATGCAATTCAGCATGCAGTAGTACACCATTGGGCCCTGTCTACCCAGAGCTTAGGAAAAACAGGATCGGTCACACCCATTTTAAAACAAATCTCACACTATTTGCCAATGTGTAGTTTCCGTCTAAGTTAGGACAATGAAATATATGGATATATATCTATATATCTCATCTTAATTTTCAAAGGTAGGCAAAGGGAGTTCTTCACAGCTTAGCTTTGCCCGGCTGAAGCTGAAGATTTTGTAACTTCATAGCCAGACCCATGTTGCCAGTGATTTTCAATTTGCCTTGAAAGAAGGCCTGCAAGAAGAAAGAAAATTTATTACTTGGTGTTTTTTGTTTTGTGATTGCTGATATTTCTAGATGATCCAGCCCTGAGATCATTTATTTATCCAGGTTTCTTAAACTTTCTTCAAAATATGAAAGTTGGCTTTCTGGAATAGATTTAGAACTAGATTGCTCAAAGGGAAGGCTTTGTAAAAAGCTCACTTTACAAAGAGCAGTCACACGACACATCTTTCCCAAACGTCTTCTCTTAGAAATTGAGTCTAGGGGCGCCTGGGTGGCTCAGTCGTTAGGCGTCTGCCTTCGGCTCGGGTCATGGTCTCAGGGTCCTGGGATCGAGCCCCACATCGGGCTCCCTGCTCCACGGGAAGCCTGCTTCTTCCTCTCCCACTCCCCCTGCTTGTGTTCCCTCTCTCACTGTGTCTCTCTCTGTCAAATAAATAAATAAAAAGTCTTAAATTAAAAAAAAAAAGAAATTGAGTCTACCTTTATCTGCCTTCGTCACCAATGGTACATTTTCCAAATAGTAGGTAAAGTGGGTTTGTACTAGATCGATTTTGTTTAAAAATACTACATGTGGATCAAGAATATGAACTGAGGGGCACCAGGCTCAGTCGGTGGAGCATGTGACTCTTGATCTCTAAATTCCAGCCCCACACTGGGTATAGAGATTACTTACAAATAAAATCTAAAAAAAAAAAAAGAGTATGAACTGAAATTTTCAGTAGTCTGCTAGGGAAAAAAAAGCACATGCATAACTCCTGGGATTCAATACAATGTGGATGAAATGTCACCAATTTTGTTTCCTTTTTTGGTCTGCATGATAAAGGATTTATCCCTAGAGAGGGAGGACAGGCAGCCTGCTGAGACTGAGGTGCTGGTGTCAATCTTTGGCTCAAGAAGAAGAATCAAACCAACCCGAAGTGCAGAGCCACAATTTGTTCCATTTAACAACTGCCTGGGATTAGATCACTTGATGTTTGCTAAATTTATCATGTAACAAAATCCCGGGAAAACTTTAGAGAAATAATAGCAAATTTGGGAACATAGCATGATTTCCCTGCTATGATCTCAGTCTTTGACTCAATTGTTAAAATGAGAAAGAGCTAGATGAAAAAAGTTTCTGGTAGTCTTAGGTTTTTAAACAAGTATATTAAGAAGTTAGGAGCTCTTCTACCTTATCCATGGGAATGCACAGAACTCCGCTTTTTCTACACCTTCTGGTAAGGGTGACTAATTCCTTTTTTTCTTTTCCCCCTCTTCTGTCTGGACAAACTAAATATTTCCTTTCTATATGGCACACAGCCTTCTGTCTGATGACTTAAAGGTCAGGTGTCTCAGAACACAATATATTTAACATATGTCCTTTAAAAATATGGACCAGCAGTACCTAAAAGAGAAACTCACCAACTTTCCTTTTTTTAAAAATTAAAAGAGAAAATGACTTTTTGTTTACTAATTATTATAGGGAAAACATGAGTCTTCACCCTTTAGGGAATGCAAACATAAGGATCAGTTTAACCTGGCCCCTAGGTGTTCTTCGTGTGTGCTTTACAGTGGAGAGCACACCACTTTGTTTCAACTGTAGCCAAACACTGAAATTATAATTTCCAATGCATTTAATGGTTTCCAGTCAAATCCTCTAAGCATAAGGGAAGACCATTAGCATATTAACAGAAATATCTGCCATTTTTATCTTTAATTCCTTTGGGTGCTAACAGGTGTTCAAGAAAAATAAGCTGATCCTTTGCTCCCCCAAATGGGTGGTAAACAGATAAACTGAGAACGAGGGCAGCTGATGTGTGAAGTCTGATCACCCCGCCAAGGAAGTGCATGAACTGCACAGCGGAACGAGGAGCAGTGGGTGGGAAGGAGGAAGACAGCCAGCTCCTCTACTGGTGGCCTCTGTTTTGTCCAGATTCTTGGAGCAGGCTCTGTGGGTGGAGATGTCCATGCCAATGGTGTGTATTAAGCTGAAACATCACAGATGCAAGTCTCTCACTTGTCGGAGCATCAACTGAAATAGGCTTAGCTGCTTAGAGAAAGCATTTTAGAAAGGAATACTAGTGTGCATCAGATTTAGTTGTTTTAGTCTTCTGGATTACCAGGGGGCTGTAGGAATGAGACCTAAAACAGATCAGGCTGAGGCAACAGAAAAATAAGTTCATAATGCAAAGCAGCATCTAAGTTTCTTTTTGTTTTTTCTCTGGCTAATGAAAGCTCAGTGTATCAAGTCTGTTCTAATGAGTAGAAGACCCTCGATGATTTGGGGACCAGGAAAACCCATACAAGACATCAGTACACTTCAGACAAATACAATTTAATCCAGCAATTGTTTAGTGAAAACCTAAAAATGTCAGGCACTGTGCTAAGTTCTGGAGACATGAGGGCAAATAAGATGTGGTTTGTTCCTTTGAGACACTCAGAATCCAATGGAAAGGAAAGAGGCGCATCATGACTAATATAATGTGACAAGTGCTAAGCTTGTTTCCAGGAGATGGCCCAGAAGAGGGACTGGCTACAGTTCCCTGGCAACTTGTAAGGAGGTCTTTGGGGGTAACATCTGAGCTAATTTTGAAAGGAAAGGAGTTTGTCAGAGAAGGCAGTTCAGACAAAAAGAGCATGGGCAAAGACAGGAAATATAAAAGGTCATGCCTTTGTTCACATGGCTCCCTCCCCCTGGATGGCTCCTGCTTTCCATCTGTGCACTGCTAACTTCTGGTCATTCTTATGACTCAGCTTAAGTGTCGCTTCCTCTGTGTGACTTTGTGATGGCCAGGAAGACATGGCGCCCCCCACCGCCGTCCACAACCAAGGCATGGCACCCTGGATATTCGGATACACTTACTCTTTTACAGATTTGTCCCACACCAAATTGTGAATGCCCTGTGCAGAACTCTTGCTTATTCATCTGGATATTTCCAGCACACAGGACAGTGCCTGGCACATAGCCTGTGCCACAAATGTTTGTCATTTGTTAAGCGAACATTTTAGGGAACACTGGGTTTTGTGGGTTTGACCACTTTGCACTTTATGGTATGAGGCTGAGGCAGGAGATGAAACGGAATGGACTAAAAGACCCACCTACTAGGAGGAAATACGCTCCATCATACTTACCGACTGAGGATTCATTTTACCAGTCATTAACGCCAGTAAGTCCGAGTCAGCCATTGTGATTGTGCAGTCAGCCTTCTTATCTAAAACAGAGATAGGTAGGAAAAGAAAGGAGAAAAAGGGAGTACTCAGTTTCGTGTATACACTTTAGTCAAAAGCCACTGACTTTAACAAATCACCTCCAGTACTGGAGCAGTGTGGGGGAAAAGGGTACTTATGTACTCTTCTATGGCAGCCTGGTAAAATGTGGCATAAATTATAAGCAACCTTAATATTTAACAAGAGGGAATCCATTAAATTAATTATTGGGGCACCTGGCTGGAACTGTCAGTTAAGTGTCCGACTCTTGGTTTCGGCTCAGGTTGTGATGTTGTGATCTCACGGTCGTGAAATTAAGCCCTGTGTTGGGCTCCACACTCAGTGTGGAGTCTGCTTGAGAGTCTCTCTCCCTCTGCCTCTGCCCCTCCCGCTTGTGCTCTCTCTCTCTCTCTAAACAAATCTTTAAAAGAAATTATCATATTCATATAATGGGACACAATGCAATCATTAGATGATGTGGATCTACATTTATTGACCTGAATAAATGTTCATGTTCTACTGTATCATGCATGATACTGTTACACAAGCCAGTTACAAAACAAACTGTGAGCATGGTCCCATTTTTGCTTAAAAACAGATATTCAATTATATATGTATAGGAAAAAACATTTATAAACGTAGACACCACTATATTAATAGTAGTTACTGTGGCCCCCAGACTCTAAGGTGACCCCTGTGATGCCTGCCTCCTGTGTTCATGCCTTTGGATGTGCTCTTGAGTGTGGGCAGGACCTGTGACTTGCTTCTAGCCAAAAGAATGTGGCAAAGGAGATGTCATGCTTGTGGTTCCATTGTGTTATATAAGACTCTGTCTTGCTAACAGACTCACTCTCTCTCCTGCTGGCCTGGAATAAGCTAGTAGCTATGCTGTGAAGTGCATATGCAAAGGGCCATGTGGTGGGGTGCTGGTCTTTAGGAGCTGAGGGCAGACTCTGGCCTATGGCCAGTAAAAAAAACAAAGTTACCATTCTCCATAGCTGCAAGGAAATGAATTCTGCCAGCAACCTAGGTAAACCTAGACACACACCCTTCCACAGTCAAGCCTCCAGATGAGAACCCAGCCCTAGCCAGTGCCTTTACTGCAAGCTGTAAAACCCTATGCAGAGAACCCAGCTAAGCTGTCTTCAGCCAACTTACCCATGGAACCTGTGAGGTAATAGATGTGTGTTGTTTTAAGCCACTAAGTTTGTGGTAATTTGATATACAGAAATAAAAAAAAAAGAGTACAGTTATCTATATCAGGGGTTATCAAAATTTTCCTATAAAAGATCAGACACCAAGTATTTTGGCCTCTGCCCAAAGCTACTAGGTCTCTATCACAACTAGGCAACTCTGCCTCTGTAGTGCAAAAGCCGCCACTGATAATACGTAAACAAGTGAGCGTGGCTGTGTGCCAACAGAATTTTCAAAGCGGGTAGTAGACGAGGGGGATGGGGTGGCTGGGTGATGGACACGGGGGAGGGTGTGTGTTGTGGTGAGCACTGTGTATTGTGTAAGAGATGAATCACAGACCTGTACCCCTGAAACAATACATTATATGTTAATAATAATAAAAAAAATCACCAAAAAACAGGTAGTAGAAAGAGGAGAGGATATTAGCAATTCATATGTCTGACAACAAATTTGTATCCAGAATATATAAAAAAATTCCTATCACTCAATTAGAAAAGGTTAGATAATCCAAAACAAACAGGCAAATAAAAGACACTGTACAAAAGATCTACAAATGGCCAGAAAAGCATATGAAACTGTGTTCAACTTCATTATTCACCAGGGAAATGCAAAATTAAAGGCATGGATGAGATACTACTATATACCTACTAGAATGAATGGCCAAAAAGGGAAAAAAAGACAATACCCAGTGCTGATTAGGATGCAGAGCAATTGAAAGGTCAATACAATGCTGGAGGGACAGTAAAATGGTACAGCCACTTTAAAAATCAGTCTAGAAGTTTCTTAGAAGGCTAAACATACATATGCCATATGACTTAGCAATCCCATTTTTAGGTGTTTACCCAAAAGAAATGAAAACATATGTCCACACAAAAAACTGTATGTGAATATTCATAGTGGTTTTATTAAAATGGCCAAAAGCTGGGAAAAAAACAAATGTGCATCAACTGGTGAATGGATAAACTACTTAGCCACAAAAAAGAAACACCCCCCGCCCCAGCCTCGCAACGCCTCCACCTTCCACAAGGACTCAGTTCAAATGCACTCTACAAAGCAGCTCATTCTATACATGAAGAGCAGTCAAAGCAAGATGACTTTTGTGTTTTTTTTATTTTAACGATTCTCTAATGCATAAAAAAATTTTTAATCAGAAGTAGTGGATTCCTAAAGGATTCCAAAGTTACATATAATTCTTCTGTTTTTGTTTTGTTCTGTTTTTTCCTTCATTTCAGCTTTGGGTGGGAGGGAGGGGCAGGTGACACCAAGGATATTTTTTTATTGTTGGAATCTTTTCCGATGACCAGCTGAAGATCTGTACTGAAATACAACTTGTATGCCTTTTTCATTTTTAAAGCCTGCTTCTTGAATTTAAGCACAGTGATAGTGTTCAAAGAGCCAGCTCAGTCTGTAACATGTTTGAAAAGATATATCTGCATTTTGAGGTCCCTTTCAAATGCCATTTGCTAGACCTCTCAAGTGTTTTGTTTTTAAGATTTTATTTATTTGTCAGAGAGAGAGAGAGCGCACAAGCAGGAGAAAGGGCAGACAAAGGGAGAAGCAGGCTCCCCACTGAGCAAGGACTATGCAGGACTCGATCCCAGGACCCTGGGATAATGACCTGAGCTGAAGGCAGACGCCCAACCGACTGAGCCACCCAGGCGTCCCTCTCTCAAGCATTTTAATTGCTACATTCAAGTGCTTCACAAAGTCCAAAATGTTAGATGCCGTATGGCATGGAAAACTCAAGACTTTAGGCAAGGCTTATGGGCTTGCATTGGAGGAGGGAAGGGAACAGAATTTGTGTATTTCTTTGATTTAGAAATAAGGCATCTGGGAGATGCCATTATTTTCTGTGTTTAACTGAATTTTTGGTTGAAATATAAAATGTACTGTCCCAATATAAAACAGTAATTATTCGACCTTTGGAAAAAAATTTAAAAAGGAACAAACTACTGATGTTACATGCAACGACATGAATGAATCTCGGTGAAAGAAGCAGGCTCAAAAAACTATATTGGGCACCTGGCTGGCTCTGTCAGTAGAGCGTGCAACCCTTGATCTCGGGTTTTAAGTTCAAGTCCCACACTGGGTGTAGAGATTACTTAAAAATAAAAACTTAAAACAAAAACTACATACTGTATGATTCCATTTATATGACATTCTGGAAAAGGTAAAGCTAAAGGGACAGAAATCAGAGTAGTGGTTGCAGGGCATGAGGATAGGAAAAGGGGATTGCCTACAAAAGGACATGAGAACGCTTTTTAGGATGATGGAAAAATTTTATCTCGATTTTTGGTGATGGTTACACAAATATATGTATTTGCCTAAATTCACAGAATTATACATCTAAAAAGGGTAGACTTTATTTTATTAAATTATACCTCATTGAACCCAACTTAAAAAAAAAAAAACTAACAGTACCAAGTACTATCAAAAATGTGGAGCAAATGAAACTCTCATGTAATGTGCAAGATAATGTAAAATAGTATATCCACGTCAAAAACTGTTTGGCTATACTGTACCTTATGACCTAATATTTCTGCTGGTTATATGCTAAATAGAAATGAGCACACACATCCACTATAAGACCCATATGAGAATGTTCATAACAGCTTTATTCACAGGCCCCAAAATGGAAACACTGAAAAGATATATCAACCATGGAATTAGTAAATTCTGGAGCATTCACATAGCAAAAACAAACTACTGCTACATACAACAATATTAAAGAATCTTATGATGCTGAGCAAAAAAACCCCCAAACCTAAAAGAGTAAATACTGTATGAGTCCATGTAAATGAATTTCCAAAATAAATGAAATCAATCTATGGTGACAGAATTTGGAAGAGCGGTTTCTTGTGAAAGAGAATAGTGATAGCAGGGGGCATGAGAGAGGCTTCTAGCATGCTGGCAACATTTTGCAGCTTGATCTGGGAGATACATTCATCTGTAAACATTTATCAAACTGTACACTTCAAATTTATGCCTTTTATTATAAGCTAGACTTTAATACAAATTTTACACAAAACAAAAAACAGATTGTCAACCCCTAACATAGATGGTGGGATTATAGGAGAGTAATTTTTCCATTTTGTTTATCTTTTCTAATGTTCTTTACACTTAAGTAAATATTACTTACGCTACAAAATTTTTGAAGTATTAATTTTTTAAAGTTTATTTATTTAATTATTTATTTATTTTTAGAGAGAGAGTGCAAGCACGTGGGGCAAGGGGAGGAGCAGAGGGAGAGGGACAGTGAGCATCTTAAGCAGGCTCCACGCCCAGCAAGGAGCCCATCTCGGGGCTCACTCTCAGGACCCTAAGACCATGACCTGAGCCGAAATCAAGAGCCGGACACTTAACAGACTGAGCCACCCAGGTGTCCCTAAAAATATTAATTTTAATATCAAAGTATAACAAATAAAAAGACTGTACAACAAAGACTCTAATATCTCACTGCTACACCAGCCATGTCTACCTTGGACAGATAAGTTTCAAGTGCAAAAGGAAAAATTCACCAAGAAAAAAATCTGTCAGCAATCAGTGTCTTAGACAATTAATATAACCACAGTCCTCTAATAGTTGGCTCCTCCTCAAATTAAATTTGGCCTCTCCCTGAAACCAAGCAGCTTTCTAGCTTACTATTCTGTTTTATTTTTCTTTATTGCACTTATGTGAAACTACCTAACTTATCTGTATATGTGTTTTCTGTATTTGTCCACTAGAATAAACACTTCACAGGGACAGGGCCCTTGTCAGTTTTGTTTACTACTATATGCCTGGGTCCTTGAAGAGTGCCTGACACATAAAG